ATAAAAACTAGAAAGTATATTCACATTATGACAAAGCTAATTAGTGATTATGCTACTTCTTATTCGGCGATATATATATAATCGTTTTTTAGATCATGTCTCTAGGGAAATACTACTAGCCTTGAGGTTATAAACCAAATATAGATTCTGGCTAAAGATATACCCATATATATGTATGTATATACCACTGAAAATAAAGGAACACTAAAGACACATTGTGCGCTAGTTTGGAACTCCTCCTAGTGTTCTCTCAATCTCTACCCAAATTATAGGTAGAAACCATTAAGTTCCACGATATTGCTTGAGTTTTATTGAGTCTTGACTGCCCGGTACGTTGTGGTTAATTTATACTAATTTATTTCTCTGCCAAAATTTTTGATTAGTTTCGTTTGAGGTTATGCAGGTAATCATACAATGCAATTATATATTCCTAACTAGAAATGTTTATTTGCAGTATATCTATTGAACATATTATCACTAATGCATTCGACCTTTGAATATTGAGTTTAAAGATTGTGGACAATTATCCAGTATTGTTAAATTATTCGGACCAGAAAACATATTTTATGGGGTAAATAAAGAAGATATTAGTTCGGATATAAGTCACTTAACAGTGATTGGGAATACATTCCCATCACACATGTGCTAATCAGAACAGGTTGAAGAGAAATGGTGATGTTCAACTAGCCACCTCTTTTCAAAGGTTTGTCAACAAATAATTGAACCTTATTTCAATCCACTCTGTTTATATCACATGTAGCTTTACTCTGACAGCAACTAATTTAAATGTTTTAACATCACAACTATCTTTTTGATGATTTTGATTTTACTTTCATTCTCACGTTTTAAAACATTTTTCAGTTTGTATTATTATTTTTCATAAATAAATTAGTTGAAATATCTTCGGCACCAGACAAAGGCTTCATTTATTAACCGAAAATTGACCATCAGTAACGTAACGGTACACATACTCATCCATTCTTTTTCACCTTATGAAGTTTCCACATGATTCACATCTTACTGACTCATGATCCTACTTAGCAAAGTCACCATTTGTTTATGACTGGATAAGCTTTTAATGTAGATATATATTATTTGATAGTTTTGATTTTAATTATTACCCTGAAGAAGTCCAGACGAGATTAATGGACGAAGCGTTGAAGTTATCTGAGTTTCAATTGGTGAGACTATTGAAAATGTAATTTTTACAAATAGTATTTACATCATTGTTCTAAAATAAATCTAGCTGTTGATACAAGTGATTTACAGAATCTGAAGTCATCTGATTAGTTCTTGATTGTTCATTTATTTATGAATCATATTTTCACCTATATATTTACTGGTAATTAGTTCGCTAAGCATTTAATTAAAGTTATTGATCTTGCTAATACAATACTATGTCCTAGTTTTACAAACTGCAGACAGTGAAACAGTTAGATCAAACATATTTACGTAAGCTAGAATATACTGCTGACAAATATCATCTTACTAACCAGTGACATCATCATACTATTAACTATACTGTACAACCTCTAATAAAATTAGATCCTCTATAACTGATGGTGGCTATCATCATTTTTCATCTAGTTCTAAATATGTGTTCAGTATTTGATTCTATGTCAAACTACTGAGTTTCTTAAACTAGAAATAAAAAATAAGATTTCACTAGCTATAAGAATTGCAAATATAAAGTATTAGTAACAATCATAATATTATTGTTATTATCAAAGATTTTCTCCTATTTAACAATAACGTCTTTAGATATGTGAATAAATTTAATACCCTTCTTGTCTGAACTCTGTTAATTCAGGATAACAATTCCCTAGAGATGTGACATCATTGAAAGTTTTGATTTTTCTAGACTTTATCTAGATTATTTTATTTTCTATCTTTCTCTTTATGCCTCTATTCCTTACTGTAGATAGCTGTTTTTTTGTATACAGATTTTAATGAAGACTTTTTTTTATTGTTGCCAAAATAGATTTTCATTTTTTGCTCTCTCCAAAAAATGTTAAATGCGCAGTTGGAAAAATTTATACATATACAAATATAATATAAACTAAATTATAATGAAAAAAAGACAAAATGAATGAAGAATGTCCCCACACTTCTTTTTTTTCAATTTGTCTTATTATTATTATTATTGTTGTTATTATATAAGTAGTATAAGTGGGTATTCAGTAGTTACTCAATCAAAGTTTTGTATTTGATCTCATGTCAAAAATTTTGAAATCAGTGATTCAAAGAATAAATGAATAAATTCAAATTTTCGAACTGATTTATGAACAAAAAGGATAAGAGATAAAGTTCAATGTATCAATAAAATAAATTGAAGGTTATTAAGATTATATGTTCAATTGATTATTATTAATAAATTATTCAAGGTCAACTAATCAAAAGAATTTAAATGAACTATTTGACCTCTGATTAGTTAACTAATGAATTGATTGAATATTTAATTATTAATTTCAAATGAAATATTTACTGTTTAATAGAATGATTGTAAAACGTGTTTTTTTTTAAAAATACATCTCAATGAATATTATTGTATTTGTGGTAATTACTTAAATTTACTAATAAATGTATTATCACTTATACTGGTTTGAATGAGTGAAAAAAAATCTTTCATATTTCGAAAACTATCTGAATAAACAATTAACGTACAGGGTTTTGATTGAGATTATATTAGACCATACTAGGATAAAACAACCGTCCAGTACTTCAAAGTTATCAATGGTGGTTTGACATTGATCGATTCATAATCGTGAGTGAAGACTTGTTGGGGAAAACCAGTTCATTATTTTATGCATATCATACAGTACCCCCGTAAAATATGAAAATCATATACAAATCTTTCTTTAGTTGTCTCCATCATTCCTCTAATTCTGTTGTTCTTCTGAATGCTCTCCGTTTTCCATTTTTCTGCTGGTTTACACTCTACTTCTTATTCCTGCTACATACTAATTATATCTATCCGCATTGGAAGCGCACACCAACATGTGTGTGTGTGGAAGTTGAGGACGCTACCCAACTTCTTAAACTAAACTAGATGGAGTAAGATTCAAACCCGATACCTACTTACTGAAACTCAAGTGATTTAATCAAAAATAATCTTATAAAATCTTCACCAAGTGTTTTGTAATTCCACACTTTATAAAATCAATCACCCTTAAATAAATTGAAGTTCTGAACTTGTTCGACATGTTGATAAGGTTTTGAAACTAAAACCATACATTCTTTAATTATAAACTTATAACTTGGGTCAAACAGTACTCTCAAAATATGCTAATTTCATTTTAGTTAAAATATCCCGACTAAACCTTTATGATAGAAATGATTTTTAATCTTTTGGAATTTTTTAACGTGGAAGAGTCTTTGTTAAAGATTAGAAAATAAACACCATATCTATGAGAAAGGAAATCAGCCCTCTCTCGGCAATACTGTTTTATAGAAAATATTTTTACATACTGTTACGGACAATGAAACAGAGTTCGATGTTCTTGAAATTTACACTAACCACATATAATTTACTTGACAAACTATAACTTGTAGAGGAACTATCAAAAATGATGAATTTCTCTTACCATTTCATTATGTGATAATATGTATAAATATTTATTCTCATAATAAATAGCTTTCACTATATTACAAATCATTTCTTAATCCAAGACGTTTTTATATACATTTACCATTTCTACGAAAAGACTATAAATTCATTTCTGTATGCTTGAAACCCAATTTACAAACTTAACAATTTTCTAGATCTGTTTACAAAGGTTTCTTTTAATTGTTCATTTGTGTTCATAACTTTCAAATTTTAACATAATTCACGAAGTTTATGAACAAACTATAGGATCAAAATATATTTCTTTTTGAAAGTTATTAAGATCAAGTGGATAATGCTTCCATGTCAACTACAAGTTTTTCATAACAAGTTATTGAATTTAAAGAAAAAAAAATGTGACTTATATAAGCCTTTGAGTTGAGTTCATTTGACTGTCGATTCACTAATGTTGAACTGATCTTAACTATTTGTTTAACATGTACGGTTCTACTTATAATTTCAATTTGTTTTAATCTACAGGGTAAGTTCAGGGATCACTATTCATTATAGTTAACAGAGTCTAGCGTTTTAGTGCAAACCTGTTATTGCTTATTCAGTTTAGTATAATAATAATGATATGATATAAGTAGTTAACAGTAAATATATACTGGTATATTCGTACTGATTTTATTGGCCCTCTGTTATTCTGAGTTTCTCCTAAAACCTATTATCCAGTATATATACTAATAATAATTAACCACAAGATTTATACAAATTGCATATATATATATATATTTGTTTATATATGTAATCATCATTAATGATTAAAATAAGCTTTAATATACACGTATAAATAGAGAACAAAAAATTCAACCACATTGATTATTATTATTATTACTGTTGTGAGTTGTAGACTAAATTGTTTTTTATCTTACTATCTTGTTTATCTTTCAGTGATACGTATACTTTTACCATGTAATTGTTAATTATCATGGGTATTATTTTAAAATAAGTGAACATTGATAATTTCTTAATACTGTATATGTAATAATTCGGTGAAAAAAAGGAAATATTTTACAAATAATTTGAATACATTAAAAGATAGAATAATTTTAGTTCATAATAATAAGATTATCATTATTATTACTACATTATCCATGTAGTAACAGAATAATGAACAAGATTTCTCACTGTCACATTTCATCTCTTTAACGTCTTTAATTAAATAATTTTAAGAAATTAATTATTCAATTAAAAATTTAATACATTATATATTGTAACATTTAACTGAAGAAAATGAACGGAATAAAAGATGACATACACCAGGTAGATTGTAAACTAAATTAATACTTCATGGAATAAGCTACTATACGATTGTATATATGTTAATATTAAAAATTAAGTGATAAAAGGATGTGTTTTATAAAATATTTTATATAGTTATATAATAAATCATTTAAACAAAACTGGAATTATGATTATCTCGGGTAAGTTTTTGTTCTGATGTACTAACGGAATGTTGATTACATTTCAATGGTGTATATGTGTGATTCATTGAATTGTTCACTTGTTCATTACCAGTTAAATAAATTGATTTTGTTTGATCATTTAAATTGTTCTTCATTCCATTATTATCAGTATTAACATCATTAACATTATTATCATCTGCTGTATTATTAGTATTAAGTGGACAGACAGTGATATGAGGTGTACTACGTGAAGTAAATGTATTCGGTGAAATTATATTATTGTCAGTATTATTAGTATTGTTATCTAAGTAGAGAGGTCTAGTTGATAATAAAGTACAAGTAGGATTAGATCGAAGCCAATTTTCATTGTCATTCCTCCGTAATTTTGTTTGAATGATTGAACGTTGTTTAAATAACGGTGAGTACATTGTGGTTGAGCTAAAATAGCTAAAATATATTCACATCTCAATTATATATAATGAAAGTAAATCATAATCAATAAATAATAGTAATTACTTTATTTGATAGTGTTAATTATGTCATAGTAAGTAGTTCACAGGATATATTATGCATTATTACATTTTTCAATTTAACATGCATTTAAACTATGATTATTGAAAATTATATTTAGTAAATATGGTCAGCAGTATAGAAGTGTCACACATCTTAAACTACTATTATTTTTTCACCACTTCAGCTGTTAAAACTATATTCTTCGACCCCTTGTATCTAAGATATATGGATTCTGATATGTACGTCTCTCAAGAAAGAAAATAATTCAGTTAATCCAGTTTTTCTTCATCATAATAATCACGAGGCACTTTACAAAAGTGCATGCATACGTAATGTTAACATTCATTATTATTCACTTTGAGGAATTAAGAACAGGAAGGTTAACTGGAATATTTGCACATTCGAAAAAATTAAGTGGCTCAAATATTTGAGCAAGGAGTTAGCTAATGAATTCCTAGAAATTTTTTTAACTTACAAAATAACTTTCACTAAAGATGGATACAATTAAGAAAGCAGCTATCTGTTTTTTTTTAATGTCTGGTATTATTTGGTTATTCAGTTCAAACATTTATATTTTTATCCAAATGACTTACAGTTAAAAGGCTAAACAAGTGTACTTAGTTTTTAAGATCTAAATTACACTTAATCCTTATGTAAAAATAATACAGTATCTAAATTTTATCCAATTGAGTAGGATTATAAAAATCTAAACTGTTTCAAATAATTAACTAATAAATAATCTGTTTCTTATACTATTAATTTGTAAACGCCGTGGAAACAATCTCATTGTTTCTAAGCAATATAAAAACCTACTCAAATATTCGCCATACTTGTGATTTTTACGATATGAAACCAAAAATTATGGATCTTAATTTTTAACATTCAAATCAATACAAGTAAATTCATTAAGTATATTTTTTTATTTATACTAGCTTCATATTTAAACTAAATAAAGTATGCATGAGGATTCATTAACACCCTTAGTTTCCTGATTATTTTCGTAGTTTATGGAAAATTTCAACTAAAATGAAAGAAGACAGAACAGAAGGCTTTCATAACTGAAATGATTACAAGTAACTGATTCATAAAATCGAGAAAAGCTCCTTGATTTAAGTAATGAAAGAAATGTTTATAAATAATAGCATACTGTGATTTTTCATCAAGCTTCATGAAGGATACTCAAAGCTGTGATGTTTTGTCCAGACGTTAATTCAATAGCATTCTGCCAAATTTAGTGTTTTTAGTGGAAATGTTTGAATTCGTTTATCTTGGGTAGTAACGACGATTAGTCAGTCTTAATAAATTTGAAAGCTGAATAACTGATTTCTTGTAAGTTATAACACATCATAATCAAAATGAAGTTCACAATGAAACGTAGTCGTCAAAGTTTTAAGCAGGGATCTATACTGTTCTGAAATATGCGTTGCTTAATGAAGTTTGGAGCACTGATTGACGTCTTGCTATGAACGCATATGACTAAATAAGTAGCTTATAAAACATGATGCCTAAATATGCTTCATTGAACAACAAAGTGCGTAAAAAACACTGCATCCAAGGCTTTATGATTGATGATTCTAACTAGTTTTGTAGAAAATTTATCTCTGAAACATTAGTACTTGAAAGATCAAATTAATTTACTATTTTAATCAATAAGTTCCAGTGGAACTTCGTTCTTAGGTTAAGTAAGATTTCTGGAACCCTAAAATGATGTAAGGATAGTAACCAATGTACTTTTTTATTGAAATCTCTGCTATCAACATGGTTAACTTTTGTAAGCAATCAAAGACCATTGATTTCATAAGTGAGTTATTAAATACAATCATTCCTCGATTACTTGCTGTCAATAACAACCATGTCAATAATAGTATTAGTAATATCCAAACGAGCGACTTGAAAAGCTGTCCAATTTATTCCTTACTGACTATGAGCATGAAATAATCTGATTTTGTTCTCAAAAAGATAAAAGAACAATTATTACTAAGGTAAAAGATGAAAAGGACCAGTGAGGTAAACTAAAAACAAGTAGTTTTGAACTTAATTAATAGGGTGATAAATTCACTTCATTTTCTTACTTTCCACGTAATCAGTGAAGTTGATAAACACATGGTAAACTACTTGTATTTAGTATTACATTGATTTAGGTGTAACTTAGTGCCAACTTCATGAAGTTATTTAAATTGAGATTTTTTAATCCTTTCTTAACGATATTTCATCAGATTTTTTAGAATGGAAGTTTTGAATTTCTTATTGTATAACTGAACAGTTTAATAATGGATTTTGGTTCAGTTATCTAGGGAAACACAGGTTTCAAACTTTTCCTGTTATGGGAATATTATATAACAGCATGGAGTTGTGTAAATTGTTATATGTTTTTTGAGATCATGGACTGATCAATGTTATACCGCCGCGATAAGTCTGGAAACACTAGATGTTTAAACAGACATAATTACATGTGTATTTTATTATTAAAATGCACTAGATTTTTATCAATACAAATTTGTTTCAATTTTTCACTTTTACTTAAATTTTAAGTTTCACGTAAAGTAACTCAATGAAATTATAACAAAATATTGTATCGCATATTTTATTACTCATGTTAGTGATAAAGCACAAATGAACATTCTTCATAAAAAGAACAATGTAACTTTTCAACTAATTGCAACAGTGATAATGTTAATGAAATCAAGTTACTTGATTTGAAGTGTTTCAAACTTTAAAATGGTTAGTTTTGTATCAAATTTATTTGAAATCTCCACATTCAACGTAAAATATCTATTAAAATATAAATTAAAAGAGCTTTAGAACTATAAATTGGCAATATATTTCTGTCATTCTATTAAGTTTGTTAAGTTTGATTTGAAGTTTGCTGAAAAACCTTTGCATTAACATTAAAAAATTCATCTATTCTTAATAACTTTTCCTTCTATACAACGAAGTAGTTAATAGTTTTTTACTAGAAAGTTCAGTAAATGCTTGGTAGTATTCTAATTCATAGGTTGTGTACATTTCTAATTGTCCGACTTATTTTACTTGTATTCATTCCATTTAACTGTAAAAAATATTATTGCATGTACAACTTGTACTCACAGATATAAGTAGTATGTTTCAGATACTGAAAGTAGAAATCTTACGGACAGAAAAGAAAAGTGAGAACAGAAAAGAAAACAGAAAGCAACTGAAATAATAACAGTAAAGTAAGAACACTGAAGTTTGTCAAGGACAACTCAAGGAAGATCGGCAAATAGTGCATAATGTATTGTTTTCATATTTTATAAATACAGTGGATGATTTTGCAGATTATAATAAATTGGTTTAGTACCCAAAACTCCATTCATTGCACTAATTACATTTTTAATTAAATTTTAAGCCTGCTTCAGTGATGTTCAATGAAATAACTGGAATATATTGACAGTACACGAACAGTAATATCATTTGTTTACTAAATAACTTTTATGCTTCCTTGTTGAATATCTAATCTCTCATGATTTCACAACTATCATGATGATACAAAAGCATTACGTTTTTTCCTATTTCTTTTGATTCTATGCGTCACGTAAACCCAGATATGTAGTCATTTTGAAATATTGGTACCTAATTGACTTAACCGCGAAAAACAACACGTTATTAAGAACCTTATGTTACTTGGTTCGAAACTCTATTTCCACTAAATATGCATCTAATCTACATTTCTTTAAACAAAAATAAGAAGTTTGAAAAATAAAGATTACTTTATCCTCTCAATTTGTTACTTTTGGTTTGGAGAAATAAACTGCTGAAGAATTTGTACAGTAATTTGAATTATGGGTGATTCTTTACGTGACTTGATCAAAAATCAAAGGGGGTCAAAGAAAGTTTACAGTCAATATGAAATGAAATGTCAAAATTAAGGGTCGGGCCAAATTATTTGAAAAATGCCAAATCTTACAGCTAAAACATTTATTTTTTTAGAATGAAATATTAGAAAGCTGATTGAATCATAAAGTAAAAACCGTAAAATCGATGTACAAAAGGATTATTTGTTTTTGAAGATAAGATCCCTTGAATATAATCAAGTTTTATTCGAGTTCATTTAAACTTACGTTCTATGAAATGTCCAGTATGCAGTAAGATACTGTAATCATTTGACTTGTAGTTTTCATCCAAACTGCTTGGTCCAGAGGAAAGAAGTGAAAGAGATACTGGAATACGAGTTGAATAGACAGTTACATCATCCGATTGATGGTCGGATTTCATTGAGGTACTTGGTAATAATAATGGAGTTAATCTACAGTCATCATCTATGTACGAAAGTATGAGAGATGAAAACAACCAGATTAAATGTTAAGGTCGAATGTTATACTTTTACACAAATAAATATTGAACATTTGTCATCAAAGTATTTAGCTAAAGAAATGTAAATATACGTAATTTGTACGGTCTCTCAACATTTTGATGAATTTCTGATCATTAGGAAACTTTGGATTCAAGTTGTATATGCAACCAAAGAGTCAAGTTCGTTTGACCAAACATGACAATTAAAGATGTTAATGACAAGTCATTCGGATGCGATTATTTAAGTAACCGTACGGATATTTTTGTGACATTCTAGAAATCCCATAGTAAAAGTCATTTTCTTTAAATGATATCTAGTGAACAACATTTGAATAAAAAAGCTTCAGTAGGCCGTTGGGAATTCAAAAGCTTTCATCATCACCTTGTATCTAACTGTAATGATTTTGTACCCATACTATACTTAATGCTTAAACCAAACAAATTTATAACTGACTTTTATCTATATATAACTTGAGTTTCAAAACGATAATCAATTAATTTGACGAAAAAGAGTATTCTTTCTTTCTATGTAGTATACATTACTTTTTTACTCATTAACAAATTAGGAATCTATAATTTAATGGTAAGTATTGTCCAAATTAAT